CCCCTGGGAGGTGAGTACCTCGGTTGGCCCCATACACCGAAGACCCTTGCGGGTTTAGGGTTTGGGGTTTAGGGTTTAGGGTTTAGGGTTTAGGGTTTAGGGTTTTAGGGTTTTAGGGCTAGAATTTCAGAGAAACCCCAAGGAGCAATAATCTTGAGAGTCCTAAACATGACCTCCTCTTTTGATTCCAACCAGGATAACAATCACCAACCTGTTTGAACCCCTAAACCCTAAACCCTAAACCCGAAACCCTAAACCTAAACCCGAAACCCTAAACCCAAAGCCTGTGGGAGATGCCGCGTCGCTGTGGGCACGTATGCCGAGGACGTGGTGCCGATGGGTTGAAGGAACTCGCCATCCTAGCGCTTCAGGGGCTTCTTCGGCGTAGGGTTTAGGGTTTAGGGTTTAGGGTTTAGGGTTTAGGGTTTAGGGTTTAGGGTTTAGGGTTTAGGGTTTAGGGTTTAGGGTTTTTTTGGCACCCGACTAGCCACAGCAATGCGGGGTTGATAGGTCGGTCTCGAAGAAAGGCAAAAAGGTTTCCCCAGGGGTGTGGGATCATTATCCCTACCCGGAGGATTCCCGCCGTTAGGCATTCAGAGGAGGACATATGTGGGTTCCAAGATGCCACGGTCAGCCTTGAAACGTTCAATAAGATCAAAGCTCATAAGCCTCAAGCCAAACACAAGCCTAACAACACCCAAAATACCCCCGAGCACTCGGCTGAACAGGCTCATCGACCAGCTTAGTGGGTGGGTGGCAGGTAGGGATGTACAGAGTAGGTTAGAGTTCACAAGCCATGCCCAGCATCGTTCCCCTCCCCGCCACCCCCTCACATGTGGTCCCAACTCAACTATGCACATGACAGTCGTATCGCACGCCGGGCTAGGCTTTTCAAAGGGTCCCGCCCTCTCCTGATGTCCTTGGGGGGGCGCGGGGCCAGTTACCGATAGCACAAAGACAACAACTTAGCAGGATTTCAACAACTTACACCAAGTACCAACCCGGGGAACCAGGGCGGGGTGTGGCCGGCTACTCCCCAAGGACAGTGCTCACAGAGGTCTTTCAAAACGGGGTATCAGGCTTTTACACGAGTTTCGCTCTGTGCACGCCTGTGGCCAGTGAATAAGCCTCGCTTCCCGACACCCCATTCTCAGCCTATTCTGCAAACTGGTTGGGCTTTTCAAAGGGCCCTGCTTTGATTGTTACAGAGGGGCCGGTTTAGGGTTTAGGGTTTAGGGTTTAGGGTTTAGGGTTTAGGGTTTAGGGTTTAGGGTTTAGGGTTTAGGGTTTAGGGTTTAGGGTTTAGGGTTTAGGGTTGGGAGGGAGGCCTTGTTTTGAAGCCTCAGGCACCCTGGAGAGTCCCTCAAAACTCAAAAAACCCCAAAGTCTTTGCCCATCAGCCTGGTGTGAGCCTACTTTCTTTCCCCCAAATCAACCCCGGCTTGACGTGCCCTAAACCCTAAAGCCTGTACCCTAAGCCCTAAACCCTAAACCCTGCACCCTACACCCCAAAGTTTAGGGTTTAAAACCCTAAACCCTAAACCCGAAACCCTAAACCCTGTGCAGTCTCCTTGAACTGGAAGGAGGTGCGGAAGTTGGCGGCCACCAGCCACAAATGGCCGAGGGAGGCAAGGGCGCTCCACAGAGCAACCGGAGATCTCATGGCTCCGCGCCATCGACAAGCCCAAGCTATGAGCCCGAAAGGGTCGTGTTGTGAGCAGTTGCAGGGGTTAGGGCTTTGGGGACCCTCCGTACACTCATGGAAGCTCCTAAGACTGGGTGGACCTACATGTCATGCCAGATTTGGGGGCTTATGAAAAAAAGTGAACCCCCAAATAGACCCCAAATAGTCGGATTCCCTTTGAATAGGGACCCCAATAAGGTACGCCAATTTCGGAAGCCACCATGTCGGGAAGAGGGTTGCAGCCTGCGACCCCTTCAGACTCACGCATGATCCCTGAGGCCCCAAAAAACATTCGACATCTGCCAAGCTTTAGGGCTTCTTAACCTTAAAGAAAGCCTATTTAGGGTTTTTAACGTTAAAAAAACCCTAAGTGTTCAGAATGACGAGCCCACGTCTGAAAATGATGCGATCACCTCCTGGCATTGAACCCTACAGCCCAGTTGCAGCAGGTCTCGTCACCCAAATCCCAAACGCTAAACCTAGACCCTGAACCCTAAAGGGTACTTGGAGGTTCATGGTACTTACCAAGTACAACTGTACTGACAACCATATTAGGGCACTTGAGGCATTATAACTACTGTACTTATAACTACAAACTGTACTTGTAACCATATCAGGGAGTGGGTTATAAGTACAGTTGTAATTGGTTTATAAGTACCATGAACCTCCAAGTATGGGATGTTTGGGAGCTTGGGATCGATGGTTCAGCAATAGGAGGGAGATGCATCCAGATTGGTCCCTAAACCCCATGCAAGCCCTGAACCCCAAGCCTGAAAATTTCAATCATACCCCTGAACAAACCTAAAGGGTTTAGGGTTTAGGGTTTAGGGACCCTAAACTCAACCCTCACCCTAGACCCTCAAGCCTAAACCTTAAACCCTCAACCCTAAATCCGGGACCTGAGAGTTTGGGGTTTAGGGTTTGGGTTTAGGGTTTAGGGTTTAGGGTTTAGGCTGAGAGTTTGGGGGTTGCCTTTTGGAAGCCGGCCGCCAAGCAGACCAGCCGTCGGGATAGGGCTTGGTTGCTGAGGGTTTGGGGTTGAGTTTAGGGTCTAGGGTTCTAGGGTTCTAGGGTTCTAGGGTTTTAGGGTTTTAGGGTTTTAGGGTTTTAGGGTTCTAGGGTTCTAGGGTTTTAGGGTTTTAGGGTTTTAGGGTTTAGGGTTTAGGGTTTAGGGTTTAGTTGAGGCTTTAGAGTTTAGGGCTTAAGGGACAGATGTGGTTTTGGGTTAGGGCTTAGGGATCTGGGTGTCAAGCCCCATGCTTTTGGCTTTGCCTTTTGCTATAATTTTGGAGGCCCTTGTGATTCCTCAAAAACCCTTTAAGCTTGAGCTTCAGAAGGAAGACCTTTCACACACCCTTTAAGACGCCCGAAGTAGAAGAAGGTAGCCTGAGAAGCCACCTGTTTACAGGCTGCTGAAGCCCCCTGTTAACGGGCTGCTGGAAGGGTGTAGAAAAATGCCCAGAAAGTCCCTTGTAGCTCTGCCACGCTGACGCGCAGCTGGGCAGATACCCCTGCCTTCTCCTCCACCATGCCAGACATGGCCAATGCCCAGGTGGTGTCCTCAACTCCCAATCCAATCGGACCGACCCCGGGCTGATTCAAGCAAGAGGCTTGTACCCTAAACCCTAAACCCTAAACCCTAAACCCTAAACCCTAAACCCTAAACCTACTTAAAATAGCCCTCTGTCCCGAAGCATCGGTTGGCTTAGGGCTCAGGGACGTGCAACGTCGGAATCGGTGTCCTTCTCGGATGCCAGCTGCTCCCTGGGACTGACAGGGTGGGCGACAGGTCGGGGGAGGGAAGCTTAGACCAGCCTCCTAAACCCTAAACCCTGAACCCTGAACCCTAAACCCTACCCTTTTCTTTGCATCTGGACTGTGGGAGCCAATCAGCCGCCCTGAACCCTAAAACCTAACCTAACCGACCAAACCCTAAAACCTAAACCTTTTGCATCCAGGTCTCGAACCCTAAACCCTAAAATCCTAAAACCCTAAAACCCTAAAACCCTAAAACCCTGAAACCCTGAAACCCTGAAACCCTAAAACCCTAAAACCTAAAGCCCTAAAGCCCTAAAGCCCTAAAGCCCTGAAGCCCTAAAGCCTAAAGCCCTCAAGCCCTAAAGCCCTAAAGCCCAAACCCTAAAACCCTAAAACCCTCAACCCCCCCCTCAACTGGTCGCGGGCAGCAAGCTCCTGCTTGGAGGTTCACGGTACTTATTCACCAAATATACCTGCCTTTAACCCACTTAGAAGCCCCTTAGGTGCCCTAATATGGTTGTAAGTACATTCCCAATTGGTTCATGAGTACCATGAACCCTCCAAGTGCAGGCAAGAGGCATGTCGGCCTGATGCTTCTGAAGCATCTGGCGAATTTCGGCCTGCGCGGGTGTCGGGTTTAGGGTTTAGGGTTTAAGGTGTAGGGTTTAGGGTTCAGGGTTCAGGGCTTAGGGTTTGGGATTTCGGGTTTGAGTTTTCGGGTTTTGTCAGGTTTTTTCGGGGGTCTTGCGGGTCTGTTGTGGATGTTTCTAGAGGTATTGGGGTTATGTGTTGCCCTAGACCCTGAACTTTTGCTGGGCTTTGGCGGCCTTCGGGTTCGTGGGTTTTGAGGGTCCAGGGTCTCAGAGGGCTTTCGGGTGCAGGATTGTGGGTTTTGGATTCTTGGCTGCGGGGTGCGGAAGTCATTCTCGGGGTCTTCGGATAGAAGCGACAGACACAAGAACCGACATCTTAAACTGTGCGTAGACCCATGCGACTCTCAACCGCTGAAGCCGTAAAAAACTCATCCAAAACGAAATCACACAACACGTTCACGTAAATAAGCAAGTAAAGATGAAAACATGGTGGGTTGGGGACTTCGCGGATGCTTGGCTTAAGCCAAGGGAGGTACGACAGGAGCTTTTGTGAAACCTTGGTGCGCAGCTCCTTGTAGACTGGGTCATGCAGCGGCGCTTTGGCCCGTTCGGGGAAGGTCAGCTACCAGAACAGTGCGACCTCGCCGAGGTGAGGATGTGGCTCTTATCCAAGACAGTTCAAGACTCGTTCGAATTAGTTTTCGAATTCGTACGGTTACACAAGCCTGCGAAGCCTGGAGCTCACGAGCGCTGTTGTTCACTTCCGGGACATGCCCCCACTCGTCTTTGAGTCTCATGGCTGCAAATCCAGATAAGCTGGAGCTGCCAATACAAGGCTGCCACGACTGTCCCTCGCCCGTCCCGCTCAGTGAACTTCATCACCCGCAGGCACAGCGCTGTTGACCCTCAGCTTGATCAATGCCACTCTTACCGTCATCGGGAAGCGATCTGGGTTTCAAGCTGTAATGCAGTGGCTGACTTGTCCAGGAGTAGCTTCGTGGGGCCTGCCGAAGATCAAGCCTGATTTCTGGTCCAGCATGATTCCAGGCGGAAGCTTCGGAGTAGCGATGAAGAGGCAGCCTTGGAGGTCAGAGGCCCCGCGATCAGGCCATAACTCAATCAGCTGCCCAACGCAACTCTCCGTGCTGCTGGCCATGTACCGGAAGAAGATGCTGGCCGGGTGCGAGAGGGATTCGATCAGCCATCCCCACCGCAGCGACAGCTTCCGCCGCACGTGGATCCGTGAGTCGCCAGGTCAGCTGCAGCACGAGATTGCTGACCCATTGCCGGCACAATGCTGCCAGCAAGGATCCCATGCTGCTTGTGCTGCTTGACCCATCCTCGAATCCTCGAAGTTCGGGGCTGGGGGGGGGGGGGGGGGGGGGTTGCCGGTATCCTTCAGGCCCCTCTTCGGACTGCTTTGCCGGACTGCCTGCTGCAGAAGCCATGCGCGCTTTCATACGGCTCCTCAGGAATGGCTACTACAAAGATATCCGGAACATCATGTTGATGTGTTGGGGTCCTAAGGTCAGGCATGTGCCATGTACTATGGATGACTATAGGGAATATGGATCATCAAGGCTTCTAGTGTTCATTGCTGCCATCATGCTCGGAATTGGAGCTTGGGCAGCTGCAGTTGACATCAGCCCAACTATGTAAGGCACCCCACAGCAAATCTAAAAGCCCTTTAAACCGCAGCCTTTCAGAGTTGGCTTTAGGAACTTTCGGCTCACGCAGGGGCTTCGTCCCAAGGATTGTGCTTGTTGTGGCCACAGGTCTCCTCGCATTCTGGGCTTTGGGGTGTTCCCCCTTATCCTAAACAGTCCTTAATCATCATTATAGTTCCCCCCTCATTACAATCCCAAGTAAGGACTGCGAGCATAAGGGGGAACATCCCAAGCTGTGCCTCAGGATATCTCAGGATACTTCAGCCCGTTTGGAGAGGCCCTTGTGGGCGGCCGCCCCCCCCATGCTCCCTAAACCCTAAACCCTAAACCCTAAACCCTAATGACGCTTGGGGGTGGGCAGCGCGGGAGGCTTCTCTTCCGGAGATCTCTGGGGTGTGCCCAAGGAGGGGTGAAAGAAATCCCCCCCTAGATCCAAATGTTGGTTTAGGGTTTAGGGTTTAGGGTTTAGGGTTTAGGGTTTAGGGTTTAGGGTTTAGGGTTTAGGGTTTAGGGTTTAGGGTTTAGGGTTTAGGGTTTAGGGTTTGCTACTCTACCCCCACAGATCCATGTTCTTTAGACAGGTCCCAGCCAAGAATCAAAGAACCACCCAAGAAGCTAAAGAATATTGAGAATTTAAATGCAGAAACTGAAGATTGAAGATTAAAGATTTCTGGGAGACTCTCGGGCGGTGCCTTCAACTTTCGTTTCTCGTCTTAAGCATCTGAGACTTTTAATTCTGAAATAGGCGTCTTGGGCCTTGAGAAATTGTCACTGATCGGTATCTGCACACCGGCATCTTAACACTTCAACCCTTTTAGGTTCCCTAAAGGCTGAACTTAAGAGCTTGTGTTTTGCTTTATTCTAGAGGGGAGAGTCTCCACGTGACCTGGAGACCAAGATTTGAGAGGAGAGCCCCTAAAAAAAAAAAAACAACATCCTCTTCCGCAAATCCATTTCGCTGAGCCCTAGAGAGTGGGTATGTCTAGAGTCTTCTTCCCTGAATCGTATTACCATGATTCTATTCCCCAAATCCTACTTCTGAGAATAATTCTCAACATACCCCAAACCCATACCCCTTAACCTATAAAAGGAGAAGATACTCGCTTCTTTTAAGGGGGTATGCCACAGGATTATGTTGAGTATTTCTCAGACTATTGCGTAAACCATGCAGAAGACCGGGTGGCCATTAATGCCTCAAGAAAAAGCGCCCCTGAATCTTAAAAGCAAATTGCTGCCGCTAATTTGCCGGACGGTTCGAAAGCTAATCAGTCTAACGATTGTCATCAGGAGCTAGGTCGTTGTTGCAATCAGATTCAGTAATGGAACTGAACAAGTTGTCTTTTGCGTAAGCAATACTTTCCGCAAGTAACGAATAAAAGCTTGTAGAACTCGATTCTTAGTTACATCAGCTGCCTCAATAAGTTGAAAAGTATGTGTAAACCAAATTGACGGACAATAATTGGAGGAGGTCGAAAATATTTGTCAACTTTGCAACCTTTTTAGTTGGCTGTTTCTGCAAATCCCAAGAATTTCTCGGAAATCTTAATCACAAAGTTTTAAAAAGACAATTGAAACTCCAAACGGGGTACAAACGAGAACTCGGCCAAGGCGGCGAGGGATTTTTCCCGCCCCAATTGCGGAAGCTCATCAGTTGTCCTAGTACTTAGATCTTGGCTGCACTCAGGAGGGTAGCTATAAATCAAACTTTTAGCTGCCTTAATAAGAAACCCAATAAACCCAAAAAGGCTAAGGATCTAAAGTTACAGTAAAGCACCACAGAGTTAGATGTCCGGTTAGCTGGGGGAGCTAAAGGCTCACCTTTGGGATTCTAAGGGGATTGTATTACCCCCAAAAAGGTTAAAGGCTACCTACTCTACTACTAGCAGTAACTGTTCGTCATCGCTATTGAGCCGCTATTGCAACTCCTCAGCTTCTCACCGCCAAACCAGGTTTAGGGTGTAGGGTTTAGGGTTTAGGGTTTAGGGTTGGGAGATATACAACATACGCATAAAAATTTAGTGTGTCACATCAGGAAATAAAATGTTGCGTTGCACTTTATCAAGTGGCAAGCCGCTCAAGAAAATGAGGTGTGCGGCACCTGGTGCTTCTCCTCCAGGCCCCGCTTCGTGTCCGCGAGGAGCTGGTCGCTGGCGGCGGTGATCGAATCCACCTTCGCCTGATGAATGCCGTCCTCCCAAGCACCAGGTTTTAGGGTTTGAACCCCAAACCCTAAATCCTAAACCCTAAACCCTAAAGCCTAAGCACCAGCTGTCGTTCTTTCGGGAACTTTGGAGGTGTTGGGGGTTTAGGGCATTTGGGTTGCTTGGGGGCATTTGTTGGGGTATTTTTGGGGGATATTCAGGTCTGAGGCTGTCCTGGAACGTGAAATTCAAATGTCACAGCACAGGGTTCATGGAGGTAGGTAGCAAGGGAACCTGAGGGGAGCTTAGGGAGCCTTAGGGAGTAGTAGGGAGTATTAGAGAACCTTAACACACCTCCCTTAAGAACCCTAGAAAGTGAGGCGGAGGCGGAACGAGAGCAGAGGGCTGGGCTGGCTGGGTACTGCTGCTAACCCCTAAACCCTAAACCCATTCTAACCCTAAACCCAAAACCCTACACCTTAAACCCTAAACCCTAAACCCATTTTAGGGTTTAGGGCTGAAGGGTTCAGCACCTCAAGCAGTTTTAAACATTTGCACTACATGGAGACATCACCCACTCATTGGTCCCATATCATCAGGTACATGTACAACAGCTTCATTAACAACTTACATCACATTTACTCATTCAACTGCGCAGAGACCTCCAGCCCACAAGCAATCATCCACAAGGTTTAAGGGTTTAGGGTTTAGGGTTTAGGGGTATGCCCTTACAGGAAACCCAAAGATCAAGACCCTATAGCCGAAGGAGGCTCCCGAAAGGAACCCTTATGTGAAGCCCCTACAAGGAAGCCCCTGGAGCCCTCCTGGAGGGGAGGCCCGTAAGCGGAAACAGGCACCCAAAACCCTGGTTGTTTAGGGCTTAAGGTTTAGGGTTCAGGGTTCTTCCTGCTTTCCTTGAGAACATCCATGGTGCCAATGCATCTACTTCCCCAAGCATCCATGGCCGAACCTTGAGAACATCCATGGTGCCAGTGCATCCACTTCCCAGTGCATCCGTGACCGAGGGGTTTCGTCTTTCAGTTGTGCAACCCACAACCCTAAGCCCGGATTTTGTTGATTTCAGGTTTCCTTTTTTGCAGCGGTTTCGGGAGCGTAGTTCACGAGCGATACTTCCCCTGAAGCGAAAAGCAACTACGCAGCACTTCGTGTCCAGGTTTGTAAACCGCCTTCTGACTAAACCCTAAACCCTAAACCTTAAAGGAGGCCTTGACAGGAGGCTCCCGCTCCTGCAGGCCCCTTAAAGGACGCCTTTGAACGAAGCCAATAAGGGAAGCCCGTAAGACAGGTCCGCGGAGGAGGGGTTTAGGGTATGGAGTTTAAGGTTTAGGGCATGCCTCTGAAGGAGCCTCTCAAGGGTGTTTTTGAAGGGAAGCCCTACAAGAGGAGGGGAGGGTCCCCACAGACTTAGCTGAACTGGGCGGGGGATTACACCGGTCCCATATCTTCGTCGTTTTGTCAACTACTCCACGCAAGCGGCAAAGATCCCAAATCGCCCGTTGTTCGGAGTCCTTCTGGTTGATCTCGTCCGTTAGGACCTTCTTCTCCTCCCGGCGCAACCTCTACACCTCTAAAGGGCTTGGGGTTTAGGGTGCCCTATGGGTTTAGGGTTTTTAAGGTTTATAAAACCTAAAAACCCTGAACCCTAAGCCCCAAACCCTTAGGGAACCCTTGCACAAGCCGGAAGTTGATACTGAATGCGATCTCACCCCTCAACCGTCTGAGCGTTGCACAAGGCTTTTGGAGCCCTTATCTCAGAAATACTCCACACACCCCTTGGGCATACCCCCTTAAACGAAGTTAAGGGGTACGCTAGAATTCTTCCTTCTATTCTCCGTTTAGAGGGGGTATGGATGTTGAAGTGTTCTTGGACCTTATGTGCCCCTCATATCTGGGGGTTTCCGAAATTAGGGGGTGCCTGTCCTTATGATAAGGGAATCCTACGCCCCCATATCCTATAGAACCATATCAAAGGACAGTCGAAACCCGAAACCTTCAGGGTTGAGGGTTGCGCCCTCCCTGCCCAACCCTAAACCCTAAACCCTAAACCCTAAACCCTGCTGGCACATCGCCCTCTCCTCCTCCATGAAGCTACGGAGCGAGGCAACCTCGGCTTCATGGATCGCCTGGCACGAACGAAGGTTCACCCCAAACCCTTTTTGCCTAAACCCTAAACCCTAAACCCTAAACCCTACAGAATCCTTAAACAAAAGGGGCCTCAGGGCCATTGTCGGAGTCCTTGCGATTTTGTTTGCAGGAAGATTTTCACCGGAGACGTGGTTTTTCATTTTTGCCACCCGCCTGGCTGACCATTTTCCATGTCACTCTGCAGGGGCGATGGCAAAGGGTTTAGGGTTTTCACTAGTGTCCGGCTACGACACACAACCATCACCCATCATCACGCCCTGACGAACGTGAAGCCAGAAGCCAGAGCAGCTGAAGCCCATTCTTATAAAGGGATCATACGGGGATACTGTTAGTAATTATTCCGACCCCTACAGCGGTCGG